AGAAGTCCATAAAACTTCTGAATATTTTTTAAGTGATGCAAACCTATATGCAGGAGTTGATTCAATATTTTTTCACAGAAAACACCTATGGTCTATAACAAACCATAATTACCAATCTGTATAAAGCTATATTATTGTTCTCTGAGGTACTCTTTTTAAAATTTGTGACTCTATATTTATGGGGTGTTTAACATATACATAATATTCTGGAGACATTCTGAAAGGAAAATATATTCATCCCAAACAGCATTTGAAAATACCTAATGTGTGAAGGAAGATTTTTTTGAAGTTCTCAATGTGTTGTAATTTTTGCCAATTACAAACTTCTTGTTGCAAATTATTGAAGAAAAACTTGTTATATCAGTGTTTGCATTCCAGAAATAACACTGGTCATTCTTTTGTATATTCTCTACAACAAAGCTAATAATATTGGGTGTATTTTTTTGTTTGTTTCTGATAAGGAGCAATCTAATCAAATACACGTTCTTCACACACATTTTTGTTCTGAGAACATACCAAGTACAGGATCTGAATATTTATTGTTGCTGCACGTACAGGAAGGTATTTCACAAGAGTGATAAATAGAACCAGAAGAAGATAAATAGTGTCTCTGAATTAGAAGTGTTTGAGACAAATTCTGTTGAGGTCAACAATGTTTTAAAGATGCATGCACATTTAATTTTAAGCACAGTTCTTTCTCTGTGACTATTTGGGTGTTGGGTTTTTGTTTTTTTTTTTTTAAACCATTAAAAGTTTCAAGGTAACAATTTATTTGAAGAAGCAATAAGCACACTTTAATTGCTATTATAGCTGGCTGAAAAATAAGCGAGAGCATCTTCAGTCCATTGGCTTCCAAATGGAGTAATGTTTCAGTTTTAAACTTTTCCATGGAATTTATTGTATCATTTTCCATTTTTACTAACAGTTTATTAAACCTTTGAAACAAATCCTATTATGTGACTCCAAAAAAGCTCAGTCCCTTTATGTTACACAACAGAACTATTCCTTTTGAAATAGCAGTAGTGTATGTGAAAGGTGCCAAACTGATAGTGTTGGAGATGGATGTACAGAACTGAAACAGCAGCAATGCAGTCTTCCCCATGTTACCCTCTAAAGTTCCCCATACCTTGACAAGGTGTCTTTGCCTCTAGTGATTACTCCCCATGTCCACTGAGTTAGGACACTAGCCATTTAAAGAGGAAAAAGGTCCCTTTTTTGCGCAAAAACCATGGGAGTGTCTATTTGCCAATGACTTTTTGTGGTGAAACTCAGAAGTTTCACCGCAAAAAGAAAACCACCTTCACGAGAGGCGTACACCTCTTACCGTTGATGCTTTTGCGGTGATGTGCAAGTGAAGAAACGTTCTTCCTGTTTACAGAGCTTTTAGCCTCTGTAGGATATCCCACAGTGTCTAGGTGACCACTCTGGCCAGCAGCTCTGCTGCTCTGATGCCAGGTAAACAGATATCCACTCCTTCCCCTGTAAAGCCCCGCAAACTTTGAAACTCCCCTTCCTATTTTCTTGGCAAGTGCTCACTTATCTGGCCAGGTGACAATGCCTGCTCCACGAAGCAAATGATCCCCTGCTTGGAGCAATGCTGAGCTACTGGAGCTGATCAGTGTTTGGGGAGAGGAGGCTGTGCAGGGACCCAGGATGCCCCGCGATCACACACCCAAGCCCCCTTTTCCACAAGACCTATCGTCAAAATGGAGAGAACTGCACTGTGGGATAGCTGCCCTAGAGCGCTGCTCTCATCGATGGAAGTGCTGCAAATGTAAACACTCTCTGATGCCTGTGGAAGTGAGTACACAAACCAGCACTTTTCTTTCACTGGTTCACTATCACCGGTGAAACTGACAGCACAAAAACTCTGCAAGTGTAGACATTGCCTTATTGGTCTTTTTGCTGATACAGCCATTAGTGCCAGTAAATGCCACCTGTCATGCTATAAATCTAGTAGAAACTGAAAGATAACCACCAAAATAATATATGAATGAATGGGGGCAGAGGATTTAAAATAGAAACTCTTAGGAAGTTTAACTAGAGTGGCTGATGCCCTTTCTCCAGAATGCAGATGTTTTCAATAGCCAGACTGCATGCCATTCCTAATGTTTATTTTTAACAAAACTTTTTGAAAAATTGATTGCCACGTGTGTGAAGTTTCCTGGCTCTTTGGGGATCATTGGCGACACCCCAGGATGCATTGTTCTGAGGCACTGCAGATACCAGAGATGAAATCTTGGCCCCACTGGAGTCAATGGCAAAACTCCTATTGACTTTCACCCCAGACGTCTTCATGCAACTTCTTGTTCTTCTAGTGTCTGTGATATCCCAGGATGATCAATTCTGGGGTGTGTCCAGTGAATCCAAAAGAGCCAGTGGACTTCACAGTGGAAAGGTATCTTCATTGTTTGAATGCTGTTTTTAGAATACGTAACCATGGCTCTGGATACTCCTTGGTAAACAAATTTTATGGCTAGGCCTCTGAGCTCTGCGACAGCTTCATGTAAATTACAATGACTTGAATGTAGGGTTACCATCCGTCCGTATTTCCCCGGACATGTCCGGCTTTTTCGTCTTTAAATAGCCGCCCGGGAGGAACTGGTAATAAGGTAGAAAGGTCCGGGATTCCCCCCCCCCCCCCCCCCCCCTGCAGAGTGCAGCGTGGCTGATAGGGCGGCTGGGCCTGATTGAGCCGCTCCCATTGGCCTCCAGCAGTCAGAGCCCCTCCCCCGCTTACCCCTCCCCCTGCCTCAGCACTCTGCAGGGGAGGGGCTGTGCGCTCGGCAATGCGGCAGCCTGTTTGGTTTGGCTTTACGTGGAGCCAGCGGCTCGAGCGGCATGGTGGTAAGGGGAGTCCCGGGGGGCAGTCAGGGAGCAGGGGGAGGGTTGGATGAGTCTGGAGTTCTGGGGGGGGGGCTGTCAGAGGGCGGGGGTGTGGAGAGGGATTGGAGCAGTCAGGGGACAGGGAGCGGGGAGGGGTTGGATGGGTCGGGGGTTCTGTGGGTGGGCTGTCAGGGGCCAGGGGTGTGGAGAGGGATCAGAGCAGTCAGGGGACAGGGAGCAGGGGGGGTTGGATGGGTCGGGAGTTCGGGGTGGGGAGTGGTCGGATGGGGCGTGGAAGTCCCAGTGGTCTGTCTGGGGGCGGGGATGTGGATAAGGGTTGGGGCAGCCAGGGGATAGGTAGAGGGTAGGGTCCT